TTCTGGAACAATTTTTGGTGGAACTGAAAAGGTTCTTCGGTTACTTCAAATTTATACTGCTCAATTTGATTATAAAAGAGTCCATATATGGGGATATGATCAATCCCTACTAAACCATATGTACTTTGCTGGATATTTCAATCAATTAAATGTTACCATGGCTACTTGTGACCAAATGTTTTGTTTTGATATGAGAAATGGTTGTTATTATAATAAAAAAGAAAAATCCTTATTTGTACGAGGAACTAAATGTTCACCAATTATTAGACATAAAATTGTTTCCAAGAAACCTTATTTTTATCTGTACTGAAAACTGAATTTGATATAAAGACAATATTTTATTACAAAATTCTTTAACTGTTATTGTTTTCTTTGTTATTCTCCAATTTTTAAACTCATATGTTTTTCTTGTTCCTTGTTTCATTCTCATAATAAGTTAGTATCTTCACAGTATTAACTACCAATGAATAAAATTAAAAATATTCTAATATACAACATGGATATTTTCTATTTTCTTGTTCTTTTTTCCTTTTTATACTAACTTAATTTTTTTGTTATTTGTTCTACTCAAAAAAGTTCTTAGGTATTTTTTGATATAACTAATTTAGTAATTCAATAAACTATTAAATAGAGTTGATAAACAAAATTCACAGATTAAATGTTATTCTACATTCCTTTTATAATTCTTACTTTTAAATAAATTAGTGATATTTAGTTAAGATGTAGAATTTGCTTAAAGAAATGATAAGAAAAAACAAAAAACAGACAATCAAATTATATGCTCTATTGTTTCCTTTCATAGAAGAAGAAAAAGTTAGATTCATTAAACGTTCTACTCAAAAATAAACATTAATAAATGTAATTAACAAATATAAAATCTTAACATTGATACATATGTAAATTAGAACAAAAATTAGTTAATTAAGTATTAATAGAATTTTCATATAATATTCCTAGCTTGGGGGAAACTAATCCCATTCTTGAGTTTATTTTAAACAAGAGTAATCTCTTTGTTTAACCCATCATTTAGGTTTTTCTTGAAATATGAGAAAAGCACTTCTTTGATTTATTTCTTCTTATTAAAATCTTCTCAAACTTCTTCACTTAATTTTTCTTTTCAAGTTTTTGTTTGATTTCTGTCTTAATTTTAAGAAATTTCATTTCCTCCTTTTTATTTTATGAAAGAGAAAAGAAAGAGTTTCATTACCATCACATTATTATGACTAATTCCTTTTAGTCTTAACCACACTTTAGTAGATCTTTTTCCTTGGATAATATACGTTTCTTAATTTCTTTATTATTAAATACTAAGCATTATAGTACAACATATAATATTCCACCATAATAAATTGATACACCATTTGTAATATTAACTAATATATTTGTAATTCAAAGACACCTCATAACCAGATGATAAGAGGGAGAGTCAAAACATGAATTGTATTAATGTTTGTATGGTGTTTCAGACATGCCACCTTTGATCTTATCATATTCATATAATAATAAATAAATTCAATTAAAATAACAAAAATCCAATGATAATAGAAAGAAAAATGCAGACACTTGAAGCACTATCAAGATTATTGTGTTCATGTTGACCATCATTTTTATTATTTGAACTGTCATCATTTTTATTTTCTGATTTAGTACTTGTTGTATTTGTATTATTATTTGGCTTTTCTTCTGGAGTTACTGGTGTTTTTGGGTCTTGATTATCTTTTGTATTATCTGGATTTTGAGTTTTATCATTAGCCTTTCCATCTTGTCCTCCTGTTGGGGTTTGTGTATTTTGTTTATTTTCTTTTTCATCTTTTCCATTAGTTGTTGTTCCAGCATTTCCATCTTTTCCTTGTTCACCAGTTTGTGTATCTTTTCCATCTTTTTCATTTGCTGGTGTTTTTTGGCCATTTGGACCTACACTCTCTCCTTCATTTTCTTTTCCACTTTCATTTGATGTACTTTCTCCTCCTTTTCCTGAAGATTGTCCACTTGTTTCTTCTTCTTTTCCGCTGGTTGCTTGTCCACCTTTTCCATTACTGGTTGTACTATCCTTCCCATCATTTGATTTTGGCTCTTCTTTAGTTTTTTCATCTGCACTTTGATCTTGCCCATTCTTTTCTGATCCACTCTTACCTGACTCTGTATTTCCGCCATTTGTTGATTCAGTTGCTTCTGGTTTTTTATTTACTGCGGTATTTCCTTCTTGTGTTCCTGTGGATGGTTCTCCTGTTTGTGTTGCATCATTCTTCTCTTTTCCACTTGTTGTTTCTTGTCCACTCACTCCAGGTCCCGTTGCGCTGGTTCCATCTAGACTATTCTTTCCAACTCCTTCTTGATTTTGTTCATTGTGTCCTTTCCCTTCTCCATTTGATGTACTTGTAGTTCCTTCATTAACTTTTTGTTGTTCTTTTGCTCCTGACTCACTTGTTTGTGTCGTACCTTGTTCAGATGTTGTTGGTGATGTTACGGTTGTACTTGGTGATTGACTATTTGATTGTGCTTTTTGCGATGTTTCTGATTCATGACTCTTCTTACTACTTTCTTCTCCACCTGATACTTCTGCAGACTGTGACTCTTTATGTTCATTTTCACCCTTTAAATGTATATTATATACATTAAACATTCGTTTAGTATTAGTATAATAAAAATAATTTTCAGCATTTTCAATATCTTCACTAGTAACAGTACCATGCTTTAAATTCTTACTTGTTGTTGAAATAATATTTTTATTAATTCTAAAAACTTCTTCATTACCTGATTCTTCTTCTTTATCACAATTACTATCACTATAATATTTGATATAATATTTATTGTTGTTATCTATTTCTTTATTATATATTTTCAAAGCTCTTCCTTTTCTATACTCAATGCACTTTGACTTATCAAGACTAATAATATTTCTATTAATTTTTGAAAATAAAACTATATTTTGGTATTTATTAACATCTTTAACTCCTTGATCATCATGTGCAACATTATAGGTTGCAGTAGTAAATACAACAAATAATATAAATGTAATCATTGAATATTTTATATTTTAGTTCTTCTTTTTAAACATATTCTATGTTTTATATTCATTTCATTATTTTAGTTTGAATTGACATTGATATTCATTTCATTTCATCTATTTTATTTTTGTTATAACTACCATATCTCAACATATTATTAACAAAAAAGAAAAATCTGGAAACTCTTTATTGCTTTATTTTATTATCTTTATTATGACTTATAATTCATTAAATAATAAATAAAACACAATGAAATCCTAAATTAAATGTATTTCCATATTTATTATTCAGTACTACATGAAAAATAAATATGATAATAAAATATAGCATATATTTCTTCAAGTCCAACAATAATATTATTGTAATTTGTTATAGATTGATATCAACACTCTATTCATAGTGAAAGGCATTCTTGTTGTAAAAATATATTTAATTGCTTATTCTTTAATTCATTTTTATTAATATATATATATTACACATTCATATTAAATTGTTTTTAGAATATTCCTATCATTATATTTCAGTTTTAATTCTATTTATTGATTGAAATGATTATCCCTTATTTTCTATACAAGATTTTTTATTATTTTATTCTTTATCATTTTCTATAACCAACAAATGAAAATATCCATTAAAATAAAATATCCATTATTTCCTTGATTGTTTAATCAATATATTTTAATTCTTTATTATAACATGAATCAATTAATTTTTATATAAAATATGATTAAATGACAACATCATTCAATATAAATACATCGTTATATATTGACCAATATTTATTATGAATAAAATATAATATTATCATTATGTTAGAAAAATAATACAATTGATAGTTGTAATATTTATATGAAGTATTTTAATTATTTCTTTATTCCTTATTGTCATTCTATCAAAAACACATAATTTACTAAAACTATTATTCATAGAAACTGTTTATGAATTATTATTCATATTTCTTTTTCTACTTATATTTAATGGTTATATTTTAATTTATTGTATGTTAGATATATCATTATTAACAAATATATTTATTTTTGATAAAAAACAATACCTATAATAAAACAAAATAGCCAATTATTTTTATTTTTCTATTTCACTATTATCAACATCAAGAAAAATTGAATAATATAATTTTCACTGAGATTTAGTTAAATAAAAATTCAAGAATAGAATAATAGATAAAACTCAATTAAACTACATTTCATTTATTAACAGTATGAAATAAATTTTTTGATAAGTTGAGATATAATTAAAATAAAACAATTTAAGTTAAGTTAGATTATATCTATAATATGTTTTATTTATTATTTGAATAAACATATTCTCTATTTGTTTTTTAATAATAATAAATATTAACATTAGTTTTATTCACAATTGTTAGATTTAATGTGAAACATACTAGTCATTATTATTAACAGATTCATTTCTTATTCATTCTTATAAAAATGATACATGGCTACAATTTGATTTCCTTTAATTATTTCTTCATAAACTCAAATTCACTTCAAATTTAAAAATAATTCCAATATAAAAATAGAATAAATAACATTTATAAATAAACAAGAGAATGAATTAAAATTAGAAAAACAGACAACAGCGAAAAACAAAAAGTATAGGTTATTCTTCTATGAAAGTCATTAAATTCTTAATTATTAAAATTTTCTTGTTATTCGTAATTTTCATGAAAAATGTATTTCTGGATACTCTACTTCATTGACTGTCACCGTATTTACTCCGTTAGTCATTTGAACCATTTAATATTTTTACACCATTTCTTTATCATTATATTTTCATGTCGTTTGAATGATTTGACTTTTCTTCATTACTGATTTTTATTAGCTTTTGTATTTAGTATAGAAATGGTTTTATTTACGTATTTACTTGTTGGACTAATATTATTTAGAATAAACACTTTCATTGTTAATGAATTAAGTAATTATATTCTCTTATCTCTTTGTTTGAATATTCATCTACTTAAATTCAGTTATGTTGTCAGTTTTACAAACTAAGAAAAGAAGAAGAATAAAACAAAAATAATAAATTAGTGGTGAAGATGAAGAAGATAAAGGTTAGATATTTTAAATGAAGAGCGAGAACAGATTGGATGGTTTTCATCAATATAAAATGAAGTCTGGATGTTAGACAGTGAGCATTCATTTGTGCCATTCGAGCAAAACACCATATTAAGACCATTCTTTCCTGTTATCTTGATCCAGTTATCATCATCAACAAAACTGATTGTTGCATCAACACCAAATTTCTGATTTAGAAGTAACACTTTTAAGTCAGCATCTTCACCTTTCACCCATAAGACATAATTGTCAAAACCAAGAGGCACTTCTGCGCTAATTTCATCTTGAATATAAACACCAAAAACTTCACCAGTTTCCTCTTTCCATAAGATACAAATATTATTTCTTTCAACCAATTCTGTTAAGAATGCTTCTTTATCAACAAAACAATTAAAGTCTTTAATCTCCTCACAGTATTGAGTCCCAGTCAATCTCATGATTGCCTTTTTGATATCTTTTGAGATGATTGAGTTTGTCTGTTCTTCACAAGGAGAGATTTGGTTGGTAGTATTTCTTAAAGAATGAACTACTTGTAAAACTAGATTCAAGTCAATAGATTTTTTAATTTCATTAACTTCAGCTTGTTTAAGTGATTCATCAATAATAGATTCTTTACCTTCAAATAACCCTTTTTTCTTTTCAACTAAGATGTTTTTGAGTTGTGTTCCTTTGATGAGCATACAATATTGGAATAGCTCATCATTCTCAAGTTCATCTAAGTATGTCATTACATTGTTCTGGTTCATTGCAGCTTTTTTTAATTCTTGAAGATGAGACTGTGAAATATGAAAATACTCTGTCAATATCATAGTTTCAATTTCACGATTAACCCGGCAAAGATACAACTCTGCTGATAGTCTATTACTCACTCTAATACTGTCAAAGTACAGTAATAGTGTTGTATGGTTTTGCATTATTGGTGTTTACTTCTTCAAGAATTTAGAAAAGTTTTCAGGGTTTTTGTGTTAAATTTCAATTTTGAAATATATAACAATGTTTGAAATAGAATATTTATTTATTGATGAATTATTGATTTGAACTTGAGAAAGAAGGATTATTTAAAATAAATCATTACTAACTAAAAGAAAGTAAAAATGATTAATTTTAAGGAAATGTCATCAGGATTAGTTTAATCAGTTAAATTACTTTGGCATATTCAATGCTTTCATTGTTATGATAATTGAAATAGGATAGTTATTAAATAAAGAATAAGAAGATTGGTTGAACAAACAAGTATTATTTTAGTTAAAGATTAAATGGATTATTTTGGAAAGGTACTTTGTATCTTCTATTAATTAACTTATTTAGAGGAACAACGTTCATACTATTCTTAGCACTCGATCGAAGATAACTTGACAATTGGTTCATTTTCTCTTTTGCAATAGAACGTCCAAGGTCAGTCAATGTTTGTTTTGCTGCATTATAATCATATTGATCATCTTCCAAATCAAATAACTCTTCATCAAATAAGTCTTCATCATCAAATAAA